GGTCTTCAGATCCTTTTTAAGTGATAGAGACATTTTTTCCAGCTTTTTCTTTTTTCTTTTTTTTCAAACCTCAGTTGATAAAATAGAGTTTCCTGGTTGAAATGGGCATTTGAGGAAGGAGGTCTGATATTTCCATCTCCAAGTTCTCTCTCCTGTCCCTCTGGCACCTCCAAGGTTTCCAGAACCCTAAGGAACCCAGTGTGAAAATGGGATTCCAAACTGGCGTCCAGGAACATGGCTGGCTACATGAGAACCCCCCGGGGGCGAACTAAATTCACTGACACCTGGCCCGCGGTCCTGTCCGTGGAGTCTGACTCCAGGCTGGCCCCTGCAGCTGCCTCACACGCCCCAGTGATCTGATCGAGGCTCCGAGGTGGGCCCTCCCTGTCTGGATAGGCTGGAGTCCCTGAATTTAGGAAAGCCGTTGAGTCCCGTTCTCAGATCCTGACCTCAGTCACCTGTTGTAATTGGGGCAGAGACCCAGATGGGACCTGGCAAACCATCACAGAGACGGCTGCAGCCGTCAAAGGCACCCAGCCACACCTGCCCGGGGACCCCCAGGGGGAATGTACCCCATGGCTCAGGAACCATCTGGCGGGATAAGGACTGAGGCCCTTCTCGCCCAGGCCGGGTGCTGAGCCCCGAGCTGATGCAGAGGCCTCAGCCAACGGCCCACCCACCCTGCCGGCGGCCGTGAGCTCACTCACCTCTCAAACCAGAGGCTCAGGCGGCAATGGCCCAGAGGCTTGAAACACCTCAGCAGCCTGGGCCCCAGCAGCCTCCTCAGCAGGCTGTGGGCCCCGAAGGCGAGGACCGCACAGGTGAGGATGAACAGGGCCAGGGCCCTGTGGAAATCCAGGAGGCCGGCGACCAGCAGGAAGGCAGCGAACGCTGGGTGGGAGTGAAACAGACAGCACTCAGGGACAACGGCACGGACCTGCCACGCTGCTCTCCAGCTCCGCCTCGCCCCACCCAGGGCAGAGAGGGCAGGATGGTCACCCAACCTCTCCGAGCGTCAGCTTCCCACCCGGAACCGGGGACAGTCATCCCTGCTGTGCTGGAGGGCTGGTACGGAGTCACTGACCAAGGGGCTGCGCACACGGAGAAGGCGTGCTGAGCCGGTGTGGAGGGAGGGCACGCGGGGAGGGCGCAAGACAAAGTCTCTGAGCACCTGCGGAGGGCCCGCCGTGTCCCAGACCCCACCCCGTGCCATGGCCAGCAGAAACGGACACAACAGTCACTCCAGGAGGGAGTCACTCGCATGTCCAGCGTCCTGCTTGGAAAATACCGGCCATTTTCTTCCTAGACTCGCCCTCTCCCTCCCTGCTCCTCGCCTCTTGCGCAGCTAAGCCAATCTGTGCTCTGCCTCGAGAAAGGGATGTGATCGTGGAGAGCAGAGGGGGAGTGTCTCTCCCTGGCTCGTGAATTTCAGAAGCCAGGGCCCTTGAAGAATGGAAAGGACTCAGAGCTTTCCCACTGGATAAAACATGTGGGCTGCAACCTCATGTGTAAGCGTAGGCCCTACGCTGTCCCTCTGCTGCCTGGTTAGGAGACACTGGCCCGCAGACAGGCCAGCTGGAAGACACCAGTTATGGGGACAGACTAGCTGGAGGACCCCGGCGGGCCCAGGGAAAAGCGACCCGGGCCTGGGAACGGAGGAGCCCTGCCCACAAGATTCCAGGGAGAGGGGCGCCCATGCAGCGTGTGGGCAGACAAACCAAAGAAAGCTTCTGAGGTTCTGCACCCAAGGCAGGCGCCGAGGCCGCAGAGTCGTGTGGGAGTCTGTGAACAGCCCGGAAGCAGGAGGGGAGAGGGGAGAGGAGTCCAGGACAGGCCCCCGATGGAGACGGGCGCATGTCCCTGGTTACCCGCATGGGCAGACAACCTGGCGTCAATTGCAGAAGTGGGCAGGTCAGTCCACACCTGAGGACTGACGGTGGCTAAGCCCTGCTGGGGACTCCTGGGGAGAGGGGGAGGGGCTCTTCCACTGACAGGAAGTAAGCTCCTAGGGCTCAGTTGGGATGGCAAAATTGGAGTGGAGTTCTGAGAAATAAAGCTACTTGCTCTCCCACAGACGCTTCTGGGCTGGGCTGGGCTGGGCTGGGCTGGGCCTCCGAGCTGCACAGGTGTCACTGAGAAGCACACGCGAGCAGCCCTGCAGGGGTGTGGGCACAGGGCTGCAGGAGGTTGAGGCAGGGGCCAAGGGCACCACACTCAGCCCTTCCCGGGCCTGGCAGGGTTACTGCTCATAACCACCCCCAGCTAGGTCTGTCCCATCCCCATGTAGAGACGGGGCACCCGAGGGCTCACACCCGGAGGAAACTGGGCTAAAATTCCTACCCAGGTCTGTCTCTGGGCCTGTGACTCGGGGGACTGAGAGGAGGCAGTGTAGACAAGTCCCCTAGACAGGGCATGGAGAAACGTGGCTTAGGAGTTATTTGTATTCTTCTAGGATCTGTTCACCCCTCTGGTGACGGGACTTGTCTGTTCCTTTGGGGCACGTCCCCACTCTTGGCCTATGTGGTCCAGTGGTGTCTGGCCCACGTTAGCAGTGGGAGGCCAGAATGGGCGCAGGACCCCAGCAAGGCCAGGCTGGCCAGAAACATGGGCAAGAGGCACACTCTTCTCCCGAGACTGGGAACACCAAGGCCCAACATGGCGGCCAGTGGCCAGAGCTGTCTTTGCACCTATGAAGAAAGCCCGGCCACCACCACGACGTCATTGCTGTGGCCCAAGCCCAGAGTGCTGAGAACATGGGCTTCCTGTCTCTCCCATACCTGTTACTGGAAGGTGCGTGAAGGGCCTCACCGAAGACATGATACAATAACGCTGTCAAAGAGCTGGAGGCAATCAGAGCCATGCAAACATGGAGGAAATCAAGAGTGGCCATTGCAAAGGATCACCCACCGGCTGACAGCCGCCACAAAGGCGGAGATAGGAGGAAATAGGTAATTTTCCTCCTCTGCTAGGAGGGGTTCAATCATTTCTGCAAGAGCAACCAACCTGGGTCTGACTGAGGGTGGAGGCAAGGGGAACAGAGAAGGCCTGGGCTCTGATCCTGCCACAGGAAGACGTCAGGGTCTCAGACATCTCTAGAAGGAAGCTGCGGGGACCACGGACCAGCCCATCTCAGCAGATGGCCCTGCTTTCACTTTCAACATGAAGACTGGGGCCATCACCATCACGGCTCTCCGTGTCCTCTCCCGCCTGGCCCCCCCGGGGGGGGGGTCTCTGCATCCACAACCACACCCCTCTGCGTGTCCCACCTGCAGGAAGACGCGGTGACCCTCCTTCCCTGGGCCGAGAGGGCCCCCCTGCACCTGCTATCTGTCCCCACATCCTTCGCCTTCCCTCTATACCACCCCCCACTCACAAGCACAGTCCAAGTGTCTCCTCTCACAAACACACCCCTTCCTCGACACTGTCACACCCTCCTTGTTAATATTCCCACCTGTTCTCATTTAAAAAAAAACCCTCCAAAGAGCTGTCTACACTTGCTGTCTACACCGCCTCACCTCCCATCCATTCCAATCCAGCTTTTCACCCGTGCCCTAAGTTACTAGTGGCCTCCTTGGCTCTAAACCCCCCGGGATGGGACGTAGCTCAGTCCCTGTTCCACTGCTCCCCTGACCTCAGAGACGCCCCTGTTCACCCCTCCCTCCTCCTTGAACTGCTGCTCCCTGATCTCTGCTCCCGCCCCCATGTCCGCGCCTCCGGCGCTTGCTGCCCCTTCCTCCGCCAGCTCCCTCTGCGTGGCTGGTCCCAGGCCGCTGTCACTGACCTACTTCTTGGTTCATTCTCCAGGCGTCCCCGGGAAGCCCCCTCCTCGATGGCCTGGCGGACTGGCCGCCCCCTCTCGCCAGGCCTTCCTCCCGCCGCGCTCCCTGGCCTTGGAGGCACCATCACGCACCCCGCTGCCTGAACAAAGCCCCAAGGCGTCTGGATCCCAGGGTGTCCCTCGTCCCGCACACTCAGTCAGCTCCCAAGTGTGGCCAGTGATGGTTTCCGAGGGTCTCCCCCACCCGCCCCCACCCGCCCCTACACTATGTCTTCTCGCTCGTGTGCTGCCACCCTGCCTGCCCCCTCCAGGCTCCCGCAGCGATCGGCCTCGATGCTTGCCTGCCAAATCCCTCTGGCTCTTCTGGCTCCGAGGGCAAATTTCAAGTCCCTGAGCTGCCTGCCCGCACCACGCCGGGTTTCACCTTTGCTCCCGTGGCTCCTGCATGAAAGTACCTTCTCACTCCTTGTTGTCCTTCCGCTCCACCTGGCTAGCTCCTGCTCGACCTGAATGTCACCTCCTCCCGGAAGTCCTCCCTGATCACTCCCATCCCTCCCTGGTGTTCCCAGATGGCTCGCTGCCTTACGTGGAAATACTGTTCCCCTTACTGATCAGAGACTGCTGTCGGAAGACAGACTGGTCTGGCTTTATTCTGATGTCCCAGCTTCCGGGATGCAGCTGGCTCTGAGACGATTGTTGAATCATTGGATAAGTGAATGCCCTGGGACACAAATGGCTGGGGCTGAGGTGGCTGAACCCCGGGTGGTAGTAGCTGGGGTAGGAATGGCGGTCTCCCAGGGGGGCTGGGCCCCGGGCTCACCAGTGCAGATCCGTCGAAACAGCGGTGCGTGCTCCCGGCAGAAGGTCCTGAGCTCCCTCAGGGCAGGCTGCAGGCTCCTCCTGGGGACGGTGCCAGTGGGGTGACAGTCAAGCCCCCACTGTCAGCAGCTCCAGGGCCGAGCCACTCGGGCTCATCCCCAGGCTGCGGCGCACAGGACTAGGCAAGCCCAGCCCAGAGCAAGCTGAGGACGGCTCAGGCCACCGCCGCGTTCCGGCGTCACTGCTGCCCTTGAGTTCATCCTGCGCTCGGGCTCGGGGAGGACTTAACTAAGACGATGCGCAAACCATGATGGCTGCCCCCCTCCCCTGTCCCATGTCCCCCCCGTCTGTGGAGCCGGGTGGAGAGGCTCCCAGTTCTGCCTTGTTCCCTGGCCACCCAGAGACTTACCCTCTGCAGGACAGTGTGTGCACAGCCGGCCCCATGCCCAGCAGTCACCACCTGCCCCCCACCTTCCCGGCCGGGTGCCAACACCATTCTTGCCTGGTCTTTTGCTCACTTGTCTATCCCTGGTGGAAAGGCTGGCATTTGGCCTCTGGAGACCCCTAGGCCACACCTGTCGGAGCTTCTGTTTCAGGGAATGCCCCTCCCCCTCTCTGGCCCTGCACCCATCCCCCTAAGAGAGGCTCTTCCCCAGTCTCCCTCCCCTCCACCACCCCTACTCTCCATGCTGCCCTCAGCTCGGGATCTGGCCAGCGGGGACCCCAGTGAGCCTGGACATCAGGTCCAGGTCACCAGCCTCCCTGTGGGAAATAAGGGGACCGGACTGGTCTAGGGGTTTTGAAACTAAACCTTGAAGATCCCTGAGGCCCCCCAGGGACTGACTGGGGTACAAGACGGATGGGGAGGTGGAGAGGGGGTCAGGCTGGTTCAGGCACCCCCATGCAGCTTCAGTCAGAACAGCGCCCCCACACACATTGGGGTTCCTGATGGGATTGCATTCTGGCCGCTTCAGGGCAGGCTGGGCACCTCTGGCCGGGCTCACCCCTGAGGCAGAGGCCAGCGGGGCTCACTTGTCGGCTAACACGTTTGCTCCTTACTTCGACAAAGGTTCTAGGAGCCCCTTCTCTGTCGTCAGGGGGCCAGGTCCCCGTCCCCGCTCCCCACGGCGGCCTCCTCCCCAGGCCAACCCGCGTCCCTCCTGGAGACCACCTACCATCCCGGGAGGGGCTCCGAGCGGGCTTCCGTCCAGCTGTCCCCACACTCGGCACGGCTCGAATCGTTGCCAGGGGTCCAGCCTTCCTCCTAGAGCCACCAAAGAGGGACCAGAGTGACTCCGGCCCCGAGTGAGAGCGGAGAGAGACCCCGGCTGCCACACGTGCACCCACGGGCCCCTCGGGGGTGGGCTGGGGTGAGGGCGGGGCTTTTGCACAGGAAATAAATAGAGGGCGACTCAATTAAATGCTACAAACCACACACTGAGCACCCACTGTGTGCTGGCCTCAGGGCGGGGCACATCCTGCTTTCAGGGAGCTCACGGCCTGCATTTGGAAGGGACAGGGACGCTGGAGCCTCAGCCGTGGCCGGTTGGGGACGCCCCAGGCGGCACCACCTCATTGCATTGGCTGCAGGACGCTATTTGCTGGCTGTTTGTCTCTCTCTGCAGTTGTGTCACGGTGCATAGGGGGGTTCTTCTTGCAGATCACAGTGTGGAAGGTGCCCCCCGGGGTAGTCTCGTGGAGAAGGGGCGGGGCTTTGTCGGGGGGAGGCCGGGAGGGGAAAGGGGGTCATATTGGGCCCCAAAGTTCTGGGTGGTGGGCCATTACGTGGCCATTCCAGAGCAAGGACGAGATCGCCAACCGAGACCTCACCAGAGAGCCCCCTACCCCACCTCCATCATGCGGCTTCTCCTTTTTACTTTTTAAGTCACAGCTCAAAGGTCACTTCCAGGTTGAGCCTTTCCCTGACCTTCCAGACCAGTGCAGGCCATCCCGGCACATCATAGGTGCTCAACAAATGGTTAATGAGCCAAGGAAAGGGGCCGCTCTGTGTTGAGGAGGCCAACCTGTTTGGGGGGGGGTCCTAAGTTTTCAAGCAAAAAGGTAGAGGGGGTGCAGGAAGGTGAACAAAGGGTCTTCCCACCAGGGGGCCAAAACGGGATGGGGGAGGGGACAGACCAGGCTTTCCAAGAGATCAGCGCCCATGTTCTCCAGACCATTGGCCACAGGCGTGAGAGAGATGGACTCTCTTCCTTTTGGGGTGTCGCCCTCCATGTGCCGGGACTTGCAGCTGGAAGACAAAGTCAGGGCCCAAAGCTGAAAGCAGAAGGCGGCGCAGGACGCAGGCGAGGAGCCCGGGAAGGGAGACGGATGGGAGCCGGCTGGAAGCGGGGAGCCTGGCATAGCTCTGCCCATCCCGGCGCTCAACCCTCCTTGAGCCCGGCGGCCTCAGAGGAAGGCGCCCCTTCCTGCGCTCACCTCTGACCCCGTGAGGGGCAAGTCCCGATGACTCCGGGAGGCCCCCGCGGAAACAGGGAAGGCAAGCAAGGAAGGAACTGCGCATGGCGTGTGTGTATCCCGTCCAGGCGTTTTCCTGAAAAGAGGTCCTAACTCCCTCACTCCTGCAATGACTCAAGCTATCGCCCTGGAGTGAAATTTTCATAGTATTCAACTTTCCCACCTCGGAAAGATGGCAACTTAATCTCCTGAAGACTTTTCCAGCACCTGGATCCAACTAGACCTAAAAACAGTCCTGCCAACGGACTTTTCAGTTCTAAGAGCCAATATAGGCCTTTTTTTTTTTTTTTTTTACTAAAGTCCCTAGGCTCAACCGCTCTGAATGAGGGCTCTGACACCCCTCTCTCCCCACTCCTGTTTCCTCACTGTTCCTTCCCCCTTGGGGAGCACCATAGGGGGGTGCTTTCCTAACCCCAGCCTGGTGAAGTGCCCACATTCAGAGGCACACACAGCGGAGGCTGGGAACGCACGCGCACACACAGCTGCACAGAGAGAGGCAGGACCCTCTTCCTACTCACGTATCTGTGGCCAACAAGTCACTCTCAAGGGTGGACAGAAGCACGTATTTCCACAGGGACAAAATGAATTCGACCCGCTCGCACTTTGGCCAGTCTTCCCTTTTCAGTGCAAATTCCCGGGCAGAGTCCAAGCTGGGATAGGTTGGGGCCTCCCTCCCAGCTCTGTCCAGCACCCTTGCCAGAACTGGGCCACGACGGGACAGGGACCCCAACTCAGGGAAGAAGTCACCTGCCTTCTAACTTAATCGGCCTTTCTTGTCCGAGTAGCCCTTCTCTCTACTCTCCCCTCTCCCCTGCTTCTAGATAAGCCCGCCTCTTCCAGGAAGCCTGCAGTTAGTATTCTCACCCTCTCCACGTCCCCTCTGGGGCTTCCTTTTCCAGCTACCACCAAGGTTACCCAGTCTCTAGGATCACGCATGTTAGCTTTCATTTTGCATCTTACTGGTCTCCTTCCCTCACGGCATCAGGAATTATTACAGCAACCTCTCTTCCTGGGTTCAAGGGTAAGGAGACCAGCGTAGCTGTCACAAGCGGCCAAGGTGTTTCACGTCGGAGCGTCGGTAGTCAGGGCAACGGAGCAAACTCACAGTTTTTCCCTTTGTTTCTGTTTTTTTAAACATAAGAGTAAAGTATCTTTTTTTCTTTTTTCAAGTTTTTATTTAAATTCCAGTTAGTTAACACACAGTATAATAGTTTCTTTTTTTTTAACCAACACCTCAGCAACAGTGTGCAAAGTCAAGGGACACACACTTCCGTGTTTCAGTCCTCCAACTAAACATTAAACTACTCTGATGAGGGGATAACATCTCTTTAATAATTAATAATGCGCACTCAGGACAAGACCCTGTATGATGCATAAACATTTCCTGGTAACGCAGGCTGTGGGGTTACCTATACATGCTGGCTGTTCTGGAAGTTTTGAGAGAATGATGGATGGGGGGGGGTCCTTCTCTTTAAAAACATTTTTTTGGTCTGTCAGTCGGATTGCCAAAGCATTACACATGCTTCGTGAAACATTTAAACATTATACAAATAGAGTACATCAAAGTGAAACCCCTTCTAAAGCGAGCCCCCCAGACGTGACCACTGAGTTTGTGGGATTGTTCTCCAGACTTTGCCTTTTTTTTTTTTTAATATTTATTAATTTTTGAGCAGGTTGGGGCAGAGAAAGAGAGGGAGACACAGAATCCAAAGCAGACTCCAGGCTCTGAGCTGTCAGCACAGAGCCCAACACGGGGCCCGAACGCACAAACCGTGAGATCATGACCTGAGCCAAAGTCAGACGCTTAACCGACTGAGCCACCCAGGCGCCCCCAAACATTTCTGTTCTGACTAGATTTTTCCCGGCACGGAGGGGGCAGAACATTGGTAAACTTTTTTTTTTTTTTTTTTAATTTTTTAAAAATGTTTGCTTATTTTTGAGAAACAGAGACAGAGCGTGAGAAGAGGAGGGGCTGAGAGAGAGGCAGACCCAGAATCTGAAGCAGGCTCCAGGCTCTGAGCTGTCAGCACAGAACCCGACACGGGGCTCGAACCCATGAACCATGAGATCATGACCCGAGCTGAAGTCGGAGGCTCAACCAACTGAGCCACCCAGGTGTCCCAAGACTCCAAGACTTTGCCTTTATGTTACTGGTTTTTACAATGGGGGCTCACACTACACCAGGTTTTTTTTTTTTTTTTTTCAGTTCAGTGCAGAGATCCACACTGGGCCTCACACACGCTGTCGGGGACCCCTGTGCTGTCCATGGTGTCACCTGGTACCCTGGTTTACTCACCTCTGTGTGCGGCCCCTACAGGGATGGGCTTGGAGACGCCCTGGCCGAGGACCCTTCAGGCCCCGTGCGCCTGCAATGTTTCTAGCCTCTGACCCCTTCCCTCCCTCTTCCTTTCCCCTCCCCTCCCCTGTGCCTCCCTCTTCCCCCCTCTCTCTGCCTCTTCCCTCCCCCCTCAGTTTCTCTTGGTGCCCGGAGGCAAGCCGGGGGTATAACACATCCAGTAGCAGCCAGGCTTGTTTCAAAACATCCCTGTGTGCACCTTAAACCCTTGACGTCTTTGTGGGCCCTGGTCTAAAACAGGTTTAAGAGGCTGTGTGTCACGGTTTGAACCCCAAGCTAGAGCCTAAAGGTCTAGATTCAGTTCTGACTCTGAAAGTCAACTTGTTTCCTTCCAGTGAACCGAGTGGGGGTGGGTAATAGTACCTACCTCGTAAATAAATACGGGGATGAAACGAGCTCACGCAGGTGCGGCGTTTGGCAGAGAGCGGGCACTGTCAGGCTGGCCGGCGTCACCACTGTCACGCACCCTAACTCGGGGGTGTCCTCACACTGCCCTCCTCCTCCAGGCGGGGAAAGCCCCTGCTCCTCCCCTCCAGGAGCGACCCCGGGTCCCCTCAAGTGATCCCAGACCCCAGAAGCCAAATGCTTTTTGAGGTGGAGTTTGGCTGAGAGCCACGGGCTGGTGGTTGGGAGGCTGGGTAGGTTGGGATGAGCCCCTCCCAGGGAAAGACCCGGAGCTTGAGGACCTCGGGGGTCCTGGCCGTGTGACCTCAGCTGTCACCTGAGCCTCTGAGGCCTGTTTCCTGAGGAGATGGTCTCTGGGGCCTGTCCCACCCACGGGGGAGTAGAGGGAGGCCCAGGACTGAGCAGGGGGTTTTGGGAGGGAAGGAAGGAAGCCAGTGCCTGAAAGACCAAAACCCCGCAGCCCACCACCCTGGCGGCTTGGCTGACTCTCCACATGCCCCTTGATAGACTCCAACCCTAGCTCTTTCCTATTCATTGGAAACAGATGGGCACAAATGGCCATTACCCAATGGAAAGCGAAAGGTTGGCCCTGGGCCTCATCTACCTCAGCAACAATAAAGGGCTGGTCAAATACGGACACCTGGTCCCACACCCAGGCAGGCCCAAGGCCACCAGGCCCGGGGAGTTTTCCCTAAACCGTTGAGCGATCACTGTCTCCAAATATTTAACTGGTTGCTACTTTGTGAAGTCTATTTCCCTTCTTGTTGTTTTACCTTCTGTCTCTCTTGCCTTTCCGTCTCATATCAGCTTCTTATATAATGAGATATTGAGACCTTTTCTTTTCAGTTTGATCCACGGAAAGATGTTCTACAGACCAAATTAGGTCTTAATTCACGCCAACCTGTTGGGGTCAAGGATGATGCCCCTGGCTTTGGTGGTTTTTATTCCAAAAGCGATATCCTCCCTCTGAGGTGGGCCATTTTCCACCAGCCATTGGCAGAGCTGTGGGGGCCTATTAATTAGGGTCTCAATTGCCTTGCTGGCCCACAGCCGACACCAATCACAATTGAAAAGCTGGTTAATCACATAGGCAAAAAGAAGTCGTTCACTGTTCCATCCTCTCCCTCTGTCAGAGAAGTGATCTGATGTGGCACACACTGAGCCTTAGAGCAAAGCCTGATATTTTTACAGAAGTTCCCATGGAGAGGATTTTGTGCCTCATGGGAGCAGCCAATACAGTGAATCTACCACAGGCTAGTAGCGTCTGTAGGAAAGGTCCTGACAAGTGGGGCGTCGCGAATTGCATGCAGTTATCAGGAAGGACAATAATGAACACTGCTGAGGGTCACATCTAGACGCCGAAACTTTCCAGGCGTATCTTGCCTCCCCCCACCCAGGTGGAGCCCCCTCAGTAACATCGCACCTGAGAATGAAAGGCATAGCCTCGTCTCTGACCCTCCCGACTACCACCAACCATTCCTCCTGTGTGGACCTGCCAGTTATATACACCATGACTCACTCTGAAACATTTCTTTTCCATCTCACTGTGCCCGTAAGAAGCAAATTTCGTTATTCCAAAGGCTGCGTCCAATTTGCTTCACTCCATAACCACGCGGTTTTGTGGCGAGCCTGACCCACCACAGGAGCTAAACCTTGGCCAGCCTGTGGGTCGGGAGGCAGTGCCGACTGCCTCCCACAGGAGACTTGGAAAGATGGTTGTAAGGGTAGAGATTTTTGTTAGCCACCCCACCTCGAGGGAAGGGAGAAACCTCAGGGTCTCCCACCTTGGAGGAGAGCAGTGAGTAAACGGGCCCAGAGACGGCTCCTGGAATTCCAAGAGATGGCGACAACAATGGCACCAGGTGAGGGCTTCACGTCCAAGAGGTTGGCATGTGACAGGCTGTGCTAAGAGCACTACCTGCACTGTCTCCTCTAACCCCTACAATAACCCAGCGAGGTTCTGGTCACCATTTCTCCCTCCCTGTCTTCCACGGGC